GACCGAATTCGAAGCTGCTCATCACAACTGAAAGAGAACGCAGCTGGAGTAGTCAGCCTGGAGACATTGCTTTCCTTTGGTATTGTTACTGACGAGTACCTGGCTTTGACGAACACGGACATTCTGATGTGGCTTTGTGGCTGCCGCAGGAATGGACAAGTTCCAGAACTCGTCGAAAGAGACTTTTCTGAGGAAATTGTGCATCCTGGAGCCTCTGGATTTAGTCATTTGAAATACTCGACTGAAGATATGCGGAAGGTTACATTGTCATTCTCATTTCGCGAATTCGAGGAAGTACTTCGTGAACTACAGGCATCGGAGACTCCCCCACGTCCGTACCTGAAAAACCTTTTGGAAGATTTGAAACGTGCACTTTCTGCCACTGAGTACCCTCCTTTACCTCGAGTACCCCTTGCAGCTGAAATCTGGCTCTTGAACAACAACGAGCGCTTCCAGTTGTACAGGTAAGCTTTTCACAAAATGCTATGTGTTTCTATGTCCCATGGGAGATGAACTTTTAAGCACTGCCGACGGAGAAAAATTTTGGTCCTTCCGACTTCAGAACGATTTGGGGTGTTTTCATTTTTAAACGGGAATATTTCAAGTTTACTTTCGTTGGCAGTTTCTAATTCTGGTTTTGGTGTCAAGGTATTGGAGAGATACTCTGCTCACTTCCCTGAACGTCTACTTCGAGCCGCTCCTGGGTGAAATAGACTCAACACTTCGTACACTATCGAACGAGCTCGCGAGCTGGAGGATGGTCGAGGACCAGCACATCATGGCTGACTACGCCATCATTGGCATGACTACATCATTCGCTGCCTCCCGACAACAGATTCTCAAGGAGCTTAAGCCAAGAATTGGTGAGTGCATTCATGCCTGGATTGAAGTACATACGTATTTGTACACTACAAACCTAACTGTCTACTAAGTACACACTTACAAATGCATGCTTGCAAGTACACACTTACAAACGCATGCTTGGCCAAGTACACACGTACAAATGCATGCTTGCAAGTACACACTTACAAACGCATGCTTGACGCCGTATAACTCCATGCGTCAAGCATGCGTTTGCCTGTGTGTACTTTCAAGCATGCATTTGTACGTGTGTACTTGGCCAAGCATGCGTTTGTAAGTGTGTACTTGCAAGCATGCATTTGGAAGTGTGTACTTCGTAGACAGTTTGGTTTGCTGTGTACATGTAAATAATTCTACGTGCATATAATTGGAGCAAAATTCGGTTCAATGTAAACGAAATCGCGCATGGCCAAATTGGGCGAGTCTTCGTAAACTGAAATTCTGTCTCTAAAATATCGGAAGTTCGTAATCTACAAACTGAAGTGTGTACTCAGTGTGCGTCTACAGATGCATATTTGCAAGTACAGTACACACCTACAGATGCATACTTGGCTGAGTACACATCCACTGATGCATACTCGGCTGAGTACACATCTGCAGATGCATACTTGGATGAGTTAGGTATGCATCTGTAGGTGTGTTCTCAGCTGAGTATGCAGTATGCATTTGTAGATGTGTACTTAGCCAAGTATGTATCTGTGGATGTGTACCTCCAAGTATGCATAAGACGCATACTGAGTTCACACTTCAGTTTGCAGAGTACTCTATAGTGTACTCTATTTAAGCATGCTTCCTCTGGGCTTCAAGCTGTCGGGGTTGATTTACATTAATAATTCTCTTGCAGTCATCGTTGAGGAAGCTGCTGAAGTATTCGAGAGCCACATTCTGGTTTCCTTGGCAGGTGAAGTGGAGCACCTCATTATGATCGGTAAGACCTATTTTCGTTCATGGAGAGTTGTTATTCGCAGGAAAAGCTGACCTAGTTTGCAACGCGGAAAATTATTCCTTGTTGATTTATTGATTGTCGCCCTTGGAACATATCGTTGTGAGAACGAGAACAGAAAATTGTCTGCAGAGCCAAATTTATCGCTGCATCAGCTAATCGGTTCGAAATAATGTGAAATAATGCGGAATAACGTTTAAGCGTTGAAGTGCCTTGAAATAACGTTGAAATGAGGTTGAAATAACGTAATTTAAAATAACTGTGTGTTCAAAATTTTCCCAAGTTCTTTGCCGCTTGCATTCAACGGTCCTGGCCGTAGTTTTTGGGAACCGATCGCCTGAGGAATCGATCGAATTCGCTGTTTCTGCAAACCTTCCTCTTTCTCAAACCGAATTTTCGGCTTGATAATGGTGTCGGCTGAAATGCTCTTTTATAACTCTCCAGAAACGATTTGCACTGCATATTGGAGTGTGAATCGAGTTTCCTCCTAGGCTTCTTATTATAAAATACACTAATGTGAAACGATATTTGTTTTAACGAAATTGACGTCACACCTGATCAGCAGGAAAGTCCTACATGTTAAAACGTGTATCTTCCACTAGGTGACCACCAACAACTTCGTCCTAGCCCGTCGGTGCACGAGCTTGGGGTAAAGTACAACCTGAACGTGTCCATGTTCGAGCGCCTCATCAACAACGGCGTGAACTACGTCACCTTATCCACGCAGCACCGCATGAGACCCGAAGTGGCCAGACTCATATTCCCCTGCCATATACCCTGACCTAAAGAACCATCCCTCCGTCGAAGATTTTCCAGCCGTTCTTGGCGTCGCAAAGAATGTTTTCTTTGTGGATCACAAACACCCAGAAGAAGTGGTACGTACTTGTTTATTTGCCGTCTTTGCAGCCAGATTAATATCACTAGCCGTTGAGCACACACTAAATGTCTTGGGACATTTTTTTTTGTTCCACGAGTGATGCAATTTTATGCACATCCGACGGTGATACAATTTTGTTCCCATTATTGTTCTTCATTATTTATTCAGGTCGAGGATGCCCAGAGCTTCCAGAACAGCCATGAGGCTGAATTCCTTTCGTCCCTAGTGAAGTACCTGCTGCTGCAAGGCTATGATCCCTCTCGGATTACGGTTCTGAGCACGTACAAAGGACAGCAGTACTTCTTTTCCAAGGTATAAAGTAGCTTTGTTGCGGGTCTCAGGAGTCCGGGCAGTGCGTACAAATGCTGATCTTCTGCTTACCAATTGTTTTCCAGCTGAAAGCTCACTCACCTCACCTTCAGAATGTGAGAATGACCGTCGTGGACAACTTCCAAGGCGAGGAGGCCGACATCATCCTGCTGTCTTTGGTGCGCAGCAACGAGGACGACAACGTCGGCTTCCTCAAGACAGAGAACCGAGTGTGCGTGGCTCTGTCTCGAGCAAGGCACGGTGAGGCATCTAGGCTGTTTTCGAAATAAGGCCCACCCTTAAGGGCCATGAAACAATTTGTAGTTGCAAATCTCGTTCTATGAGATAGATTAAAATTTTCATTTTAGCCTCCCCCTCCTCCTTTCTGTTTTCCCAAAAATTCTACACGCGTTTTAAGCTTCAGAGTCGCTGAATGGGACTCGTGTGACCCCACCAATGGATTCCTCGTTCGGAGAGCAATCCAATGGTGGGGCCACACGTTCGTTTCGTGTCCCACTTGGCGGCTCCAGAGCCCGAAACGCGTCTAGAGTTTTGGCCGCCTCCACCGGTCTTCTGACCCACTGTGCTTGCAGGGCTCTACATCATCGGCAACATGGCGAACATGACGAAGGCCGACACGGTGTGGCGCAAGGTGGAGGCGGAGCTGCGCCAACAGGGCGGCATCGGGCCGGCGCTGCCGCTACACTGCGACCGCCACGGCGAGTTGACCCTCGTCGCCACGGCCGAGGACTTCGCCAAGTGCCCGCAGGGAGGCTGCCTACAGCTCTGCAAGACCCTCATGCCGTGCGGCCACGACTGCAAGCAGGTCTGCCACATCCAGGACATGGAGCACAGGAACGCCAGGTGGGGCAAACAGCGTAGGCGTAGCCGGTAGGGTCAGTTGGGGTAATTGTGAGACACGGGGTAAAAATGGGACAGCTGATTCTTAGTCAAGATTTGACATTTTTGAACGCATGACGTACCAAATGTGATGTTTTTATTGAGAAAATAACATTTGCTTCTAATATATTCTAATATCTCTATTCTTGACTAAGAATCAGCTGTCCCATGTTTACCCCGTGTCCCATAATTACCCCAAATAACCCTACAAGGTTAATGGAAACGTGTACACTTTGTCATGGGTGTTATCCAGGTGATACAAAGTGTGAAATTTCAAATTTCAATAGGGATCGGACAATTTGTATCACGTGGTGGACACAAAATGGAATGGAATTGCATAAGTTTCGCATGAAAAAATGCATGCTTGCAAGTACACACTGCTTGCCATGCTTGACGCATGGAGTTATACGGCGGCAAGCAATGTGTACTTGCAAGCATGCATTTGTAAGTGTGTACTTGGCCAACCATGCGTTTGTAAGTGTGTTCTTGCAAGCGTCCATTTGTAAGTGTTTACTTAGTAGACGTTAGGTTTGCAGTGTTCTTTTGTTTGAGAAGCCTAAAACAGTTTGTCGTTGGGCCCCTAGGTGCATGGAGAGGTGCGTGCGGCCGGCCTGTCCTCAGCAACACCCCTGCCCGAAGCGGTGCTACACGTACCCATGCCCACCGTGCCTGGTGGAAAAGAGAGAAGTGCTTGCCTGCGGCCACTCCGCCACCATGGCCTGCCACGTGGACCCCGCCGACTACAAGTGCAAGGTGCAGTGACCTACACTCTAAATGTAGGGTGTCCAGAAACTGGGCGCCTTTGTCGCCTGCTCCACTTTTTAGGGTGCCAAATGTCGCCCAGTTTCTGGGCACCTTTGTCGCCTAGTCTCGGGGTGGGCAAACCATTAGGGAACCTGCCTTCACCCATGGCTCAGCAGCGACTAAGGTGCCAAAGGTGCCCAGACTCTGGGCACCTTAGTCGCCCAGGAACTAGACATCTGTGCATGCTCTACCATGGGAGAGGGCCGGTTACTGCATGATTAGTCCACCCCGAGACTGGGCGACAAAGGTGCCCAGAAACTGGGCGACATTTGGCACCCTAAAAAGTGGGGCAGGCGACAAAGGCGCCCAGTTTCTGGGCACCCCATATTTAGAGTGTAGTCCGAAACGCCCACTCTCTTTAAAAGTCCACAAGACATCTGCTTCATTACTACGAAGAGAATGAAGGGAGTAGAATTGCTTAGTATTATGAAAACATGCCTCGTATTACGAAGGATTTCTGCTTGATACAAAGCAATTCTTGGTAGATTTTACAATTCCTTCGTTTTCTTCGCGCACTTCGTACTGTGCACACACGGTAAGACTCGGTCCTGGATCTCCCAGGACCGTCCTGGTTTTCCTATGCATTTAGCATAGGAGAAACCAGGACGGTCGGAAGATCCAGGACTATCAGGTCGACCTAGTCTTACCGCGTACTTTGACACTCTGAAAACCTTACAAACTACTTTTGACCTTACAAAGAAAAGAAGCTTATCATCATAACAAGCTGTTTTCGAGCATACTTAAGCTTACAAAGAAAATACTTCGTAATTTACGAACAATTTCTTCGTATAACAAATGAAATAGTTTGTACCTTTTGCTCAAAATACTTCGTGAGGTTTTAAGTTTCTCTAACTAATCGTGTGATGCTCGTTTGGATATTAGCCATAAGTTAGCTTATTCACATACAAACAGCGTCACACAATGCTGAGAGAACACTTTCACTGTGAGAAATTTCCGAGTAAAAATGGAAAAATCATGGAGTTTTTCCGAAACTTCTGCATGGCGCTCTCCACAAAAGCAAACCCTGGTCTTTCTCCGAAAATTTTCGGAATTTGGAACAAAAATACATGCTTTACTTTAAGGAAAACACGAAAAAAAAAACAAAAACGGTTTGCAACCAGGCAAAGTATGAGGGAAAGGTGACTGCCTCCTTGTTTACCTCAGTTTTTATATTATTAAGCGAGACCTATGGGATGTAAGTCAAATAAGCTCTAAGGCTAAAGAATGCTTCGGCGAAGTCCTCTTTAACATATTTGAGAAAAGACTTGCATTTTACCTCCCATCAGGACCCAAGTAATGCTCCGAAGCAAATTTGCTTAAGCCCAGAGAAAATCTCTCCGAAAAAAAGTTGGAAACTGAACGGAGTCTCCATGAACGTGATTATAGAGTTTTTCTCCATAAAATTGCGGAGCTATAATTTCTAACAGTGTTGTCACGCTCCTTTCAACGTACGCACTAAATGTTTTTGTACAAATTTTGTACGAGACATCACAGTTTTTTGCGCACACGAACTTTCCGTACAAATTTGTACAATTTTGTACGCTCCTGGATTAAAAGTGTAGTATCAGGCGCGGCCCTTGCAAACGCCCCTCTTAAGTATGCTGTGTTGCAAAAAGTTTGATCTTTTACATTGTTACTGCCGTTTGTCTCTAGCCTTCATGGAAGTCTTTTTAATTCAGGTGCAAACAGAAAATTCGAAAAAAATTGAAAAAGCGTGCACAAAGTGCTACTGCCCCCTTAACGTGGCGTGTGCCGTTCCAGGTTGCGTGAACTGCACCCTGCCCGCCTGCGGTCACGAGAGGGAGGCCAAATGCCACCAACTGGCCCGTCTGGACCTGCTGCCCTGCAAGACCCCCTGCACCCTTCGTATGCAGTGCGGCCACACGTGTCGGTCCGACTGCCACGTGCTCAAGGACCCCAACCACGAGCAGGTACCTGAAGGCGGTTGAACACAACATGAACTGCTTCGCGTTAACCGCGCGAAGAATAGGCTATTGCGAGCGTACACTGCAAGAGAAATCCACAAAAACAAAAACTTCTGGCAAAATTTTTGTCAGAACTTTATCTTACTTTCAAAGTACAACAATTGTGCAAAGTACAATGGAACCGGCATGACGAGTTCTGTGCAGTCAGGCCTCTATGTTCAATTCTCGCTGTACCTACAATCCCCGTTGCACTTATTTTTTGTACAGCTTTCGTTGCACTTTTGTTGTACCGTTCACACATTTTCTTGTAGTGTAGCTTCCCTTCTCAAGGAAAAGTCTGCTCGTTCGGCCCCCGTGCTGTGAATCCCCGTTCCCTTCCAGGTGAAGTGCAGGGAGCCTGTGGGCAGAAGAGGCACGGCTGCCTCGCCGACCCCGGACACCAGTGCAGCCTGGTGTGCCACCAGACGTGCGAGGAATGCACCGTGCCGGTGAAGAAGACCCTTCCCTGCGGCCACAAACACAAGATGAAGTGCAACGCGGACGCGTCCGAGTTCCAGTGCAGGCTCAAATGCGACAGGACCCTGCCCTGCGGACACGAGTGCAGCAAGAAGTGCTTCGAGCCGTGCGAGCCGTGCACCGTGCAGGTGAGCTCAATGACACAACAGTTTCGGGCGAAGGGCTCCAGGGAGCACAGTAAAACGTCTACGAAGCATCGCTTCGTAACGAAGAAAACAAAGGCGGAGGCATTATAAAGTCTAGGAAGAATGGCTTCGTATTACGAAGCAAAATTCTTCGGAAGACGGGCATTTCTTCATAATACGAAGCAATTCTTCTACAATGCCTTAATTTCTTCGTAGTTACGAATTAAAAGCTTTGTAGACTTTTTTGAGTGGGTTTGTTTGAACTGGAAAGTTTCAGGGACATGAACATAAGTTAGGTCCAGAAATGTTAGTTGATAGCCCGGTTAATTATTACTGGGTTATCGGGATGGTCTATGGACTTACGCCTGTTTGTCAGGATGCTCTATGAACTTACGCCTCTTTGTCAAAAAATCACATGGACTTACGCCTCTTTGTCAGAAAAGGGATGGCCTTAAGCCTCTTTGTCAACCAAAGTGGTATGGACTTTCGCCCTTTGGACACCTTCTGTATCTCCTAAACTAATTCAAATATTTTAATGTTTCAAAAAAGCAATATGCTTGTTATTGCATTACAAATGCTTTTATGAAAAAGTGGATTTTGCCAATTTGTGGACTTACGACCCTTTTTCGAAATAAAAAAACACTGATTTGTGTGGAGATACTTTGGAAGCAATTGCGGAAGTCAGTATCCTTAACCTTTAGCGAACATTGTCTTATGTTACGCAATATAAGCAGCGCTAGTTAAATGTTTAGAAAAGTTAAGGATCCATGCTTTTCTGGCAACACGGAAGCGGGCTCACTTCAATTGTATCCGCGGTTCTATGGGCCTGATATCCATTGCGAGGACCTTCTCTGAGTCCCTGCCATTATCTTCACGTAATATTTTTTTCTTGTCCGCAGGTGTCCAAGACGGTGCCCGCGTGCGGCCACGCGCAGGCGATGAGTTGCGGCGAGTCCCCCGCCCTGTTCCGGAACTGCAAGGCTCCCTGCGAACGCCTGCTGCCGTGCGGACACCGCTGTGGACTACAGTGTGGGCAGGACTGCCTCGGCGGCCGTTGCCGCCAGCTGGTGCCTTACCCGGGCTCCCCGGCCTGTGGACACACCATCAACGTGCCGTGTTCGCTCCAAAATGACTACGGTATGGAATGGACCCTTGCATCCGCACTTCTCTTTAGTGTGCTGACAACCACATCTGTATATTTTGAGCAGGTGATACCTTTACTTTAAAACATACCTAAAACTACAAGACATACTTTAAAACAAACCTCAAACTACAAGACATACTTTAAAACATACCTCAAACTACAAGACGTACTTTAAAACATACCTCAAACTACAAGACACACTTTAAAACATACCTTAAACTACAAGGAATACTTTAAAACATACCTTAAACTACAAGACACAGTTTAAAACATACCTCTAAACTACAAGACGTACGTTAAAACATACCTCTAAACTACAAGACATACTTTAAACATACCTGAAACTACAGGACATACTTAAAAACATACCTAAAACTATAAGTCATACTTAAAAACATACCTAAAACTACAAGACATACTTTAAAACATACCTAAAACTACAAGACACATAAAGGTGTCAGAGCTCTATTTTATACTTGGGCAGTAATTGCAGTCCCACCAAGACCAAATAAGTTTTTTCTGATGTTGCTCGAAGGCGTCAACGGGCTGCCGTTTCGTAGGGTCTACACCTGATCTCCATCACTCAGGCAACTCAACTGCCTCAGACCTGAGTCGTCTTGGGTCACTCAATTTTTACCTCGTCTCTGCTGTTAGAGCCCTTGTGAATCCACTCTAACCTACATCAAATCGAAACGAAAAGTTGCGTAATTTGCGTCAACTTTGATCATTTTCATTACATTTTTATCTTAAAAAATCTTCATTACATTTGTTTATTACACTGTGATAAAATTTTAATAACCTATGTGTAATGAAAACTTTAATTATATTGTAACGATTATAGCTTCACTACACTGGTAAAACCGGAGCGTAGCTGTATGCTTCATTCAAGCATACAACTACGCTTGAAGACTTTACGCTTGACGTCAAGCGTAGAGAAGAAATCCTCCCATGCATTTAGATAGCCGGGAGAGGGGCGAAATGGAGAACTACGCTTGAAGCCGAGCGTACTTCTACTACGCTTGAAGAAAGGCGTAAAAGTACGCTTGAGTTCTACCAGTGTACCATGTAATGAAAATGTAATTAAAGTTTTTGACAGTGAATGGAACATATGCGATAGGCTGGACGGTTATGTTGGGCTTGTCAGTTCCTCTGCTGATTTGCGTGTCTACCCTTTGCAGCCCCCAACAGCAGCGACCTGCTGGCGCTTTGCAGGCAGCCCTGCCGTGCCTTGCTCAAGCCCTGCGACCACCAGTGCGGCGGTTCGTGCGGGGAGTGCCTGCAGGGACGCCTGCACCAGCCCTGCAAGTCCAAGTGCGACAGGCAGCTGCTCTGCGGGCACGTGTGAGTACACTGGAACTGTTGTTTGCAATAATGTTCTTTTCATTGCAAAATTATCCATTGATGCTCTGCTAACTGAGGTGTGTGTACACTCTTATTGAGCATGCTTCCAAGCAAGCACACTCTCGATTTACGACATGCTTGAAGCCTTTGAAGGGCGTGAAAGAATGTTTATGCCCTATAGGGCGTAAATTTTATGCCTTTGTTTTAGCAGTGTCGCAGGTACCCTCTTATTTCGGGTGTATATGCGAGGCACACTGGATTAACGCGTGTACTTAGCAAGTATGCTGCAAATAAGAGTGCTTAACATGCTCTAAGAGTGTTTTTAAGCCCTTAAGTTTGCACAGTGGGTTTTGGGGTACGAAATGTTACACAGTAAACTTCTTACGGATACCACGGATCAGTAATCGAGACAATTTCGTGCAGACAAATTTATGGTTCGACCTGTAATACAAAGATTTCTTCTTCTGTACCTTACGGATGATTTTGTTTTGTTTGGTAGGGACACGAAAACCTTTTTGTATGACGTGCAAAATCACCCACATTACAAGTAAAATCCGTCCGTAATTGTGTTACCACAAAACTCTCTGTATTATGGATATATGCTCCGTAAGGAGTTTAGAGTGTGAGCTCCGCACTTATATTCTGCTTATTGAAGGCGAAAACTTGGTATTTTGTTTCTTCAGATTACTAATCATAAAACTATGCATAGTTTTGCGACTGTCTCAGTAGGGGCTGCCACCAAACGCCGTTGTTGTCGTTTGCTCCATCTTCAAGGAAGGCAAAGGGTGATAACGCCTTCTTCGCCCACAACTCACAATTTGGCCCTTAATCAGTTCTGCTTTTCCGTTTGCTAGGTGCAAGGAGGCTTGCCCCAAGGTCTGCCCACCCTGCACTTTGCCCTGTGAGCAACGATGCGTGCACTCGTCTTGCAACCACCGTTGTGGTGTTCCGTGCGCCGAGTGCAAGGTAAGTTCGATTCACGATTTGACGATTCTTGCGCTGCTCATGCACACAAAATCTATGTGTGCACTCAGTACACCTTTCTAGGTGCGTGCTTACAAGCATGCACTTAGAGGTGTGTACTTGCCTACGCACGCACCTTAAAGTGTGTACTCAGTGAGTACACACTTGCGAGGTGCATGCGCGGCATAGGGAAAACGAACGAGGTCCGTGAAGCTTGGTAACCATTTCTTACTCGGGTTGGGCTAGGTTTCCTGCCATTTTTAAGGTATGTTGGTTGTAGGTGAACCGTTTGATGCTCGACCAAAACTAACTGAAACTTTTCTAAACTAATGTAAAACTGAAGTTTAGGCATGGTCTCGTTTGGTTGGGCCGTTGGTGGCCGGCCAGCTTCACGGACCTGGGAAAACGCATGCACTTCTATTTGTGTACTCACTGAGTACACACTTAAAAGTGGGTACTCATTCAAGTACACACTTTTAGGTGCGTGCTTAGGCAAGTACACACCTCGAAGTGCATGCTTGTAAGCACGCACCTAGAAGTGTGTACTGAGTACACACATAGATTTTGTGTGTGCACACTTACGATTCAAGATCATCGTTGAGTAACGTGTACGCATTTTCCGGCAACTATATCCGGAAGTGAACTGCACTTGTCTTATATACGGTGAAATTTAATTTAATTAATGTAATACAATCAAGCCAAACTCTTCGCAAGCTACCAACCAAAATGGTTTGTTATGCGAAAACATTCTTCGCAAGGTGCTGAGAGCGTACAATACTTAGCAACACCACGTTTGCTTGCGACAGTTCTTTCCTAACAAGGGGAATTTCTTCTTGAGACAGAGTGTGTCACTAGGGAGAGGTCTAACGAGTGTTGTCCTCTGGACCTCCAGGAGCCGTGCAGTCGTCGCTGCGAGCACGGCCAGTGCCCCAGGCGGTGCGGCGACAAGTGCACCTTCGAGTGCAAGGAAGCCTGCCGGGCGAAGGTGGAGGGTTGCGGCCACGACTGCATCGGGCTGTGCGGCGACCCCTGCGTCTGCAAGGAATGCAACTTGGAGGAGGTCACCACCATCTTCTTCGGCACGGAGGACGAGGAGGACGCAAGGTACGGAACTTAACCTTGTGGAGACGTCTGTTGCTGTTCAGTTCAACCGTGTCATTATTTTCTTCTGACTTTTCGACAGTGGCGGATCCAGAGTCGGCCCAAGCGGGGGGGGGGGGCAAAGTAGCACTTTTTGCCTACTTACAGGGGCAAATTGGTGCTTTTTGCCTACCTTTCAGGCGGCTACCAAGGGGTCAAGGGGGGGGGGTGGCAATTGTCCTTCCCCCCCCCCCCCTGGATCCGCGCTTGCTTTTCGAACATGATGACTCTTGTGCAGCCAGTTAGCCGACAGATAGCAATAGCAATTTAAGGCAGCGAGCTCAGTGTTACTTAACTTACGTACACGCTCTTAAAACTTTGCGAACCGATGTGTTGACCGCAATGCGAAGAACGCATCCGTATTGCAAATCGGTAGTTCGCAACTTGCGAACAAGTGCTTCGCAATTTGCGAACAACCTGTTTGTATTGCTAACCCTTGAAAACACATTGTTTGCAATTGCGAACTACCAGTTCGTAATACAGTAAAGGCAAACAGTTCGCAAGCTGCGAACCAAATGGTTTGTAATGCGAACACATTCTTCGCAATGTTTTGAGAGTCTACGCTTGTAGATACAAAATCTGGCGTAAATTTGTTACTAATATGATGAAAGAGATGAGCAAATAAGGATTCAGTCTGGATTTTTAATTGTAATATAATTTCCTACATTGTCCTGTCAGGTATGTCAAGCTGCCCGACTGCCGTCACATACTGGAGTCAAGTGGTCTGGACAATTGGATGTCCGTCTCCAGCTCGGAGGATGACAAGCCGTTGGAAATCAAACCGAAAGTGAGTCTTATTTTTGTTTTTGGCGACTTGACGAGCTTTGGTAGAAGTGCAGCTTCGTGTCTGCCATTTGTGACTTCAGTGCCATCTTTTTATTTTCCCTCATCTCTACTTGTTACAGGTTTGTCCCAGATGCAGCACGCCTACGACGAGCTGCCAGCGATACAGCAATGCCATGAAGAAGATCGCTAAGGACATTGCAGCCGTCAAAGAACGGTTCTACGATAGAGAGAAGATAGGAGAAGATCTCGACAACATTCGGGAGCTTCTCAAGGGCATATCTAATTTTCCTGCAGGTACACTCTCAAAATCTTGTGAACCGATATGTTTGTAAGCTTGCGAAGAATCTGACTTTTTGGAGGTACTATGCACTCGCGTAATAGCCGGGTAATTCTGTCCGTTAGAGCACGCGCAATGGCGCTTAGTAGTTGCCGAATTTTTACCATTTTTTGTTGTTTTGGGCCGTTTTAGCCAAATCCTGATGATTTTGAGGCGTGATAGAGCGTAGGCGAAATAGTCGCAGGTTTTGATAGTGCATACCCCTTCGGCTGGGTTAGATTGCAGCGCTGTGTTCCAACATCTTGTCATCCTTGTTTCAGAATTCCCATCAGCTCGTGTACTCGAACTCGACGTTGTCCGCTTCCTGGAAGGCGTCGAGAAGAAGATGCCCCTTAGCAAGGAGTCCGGCACCAGGAGGGTGCCACCACTGAGCACGAGCGAGGCCAAGAACCTGGAGCAGAAGGTGCAAATCCTCAGGAGCCTGTGGCAGATTGTGGACAAGGTGGTCAACGGACAAGAGCATCAGCTCCAACGGGAAGACTGAGATCGAGCAAGCGGTGGAGCTGCTGTGCAGCAACCTGAGGCAGCGCGACCCAGGGTTCGACTCAGCGAGCAAGAGGTAACCTCCGTTTATACACGTTCTTTACACCGTACCTGCATTTGCCTTAGTGAGGGTCTAGAATGAACGAGTGTTTTGTTAGGAGAGGAGCAACGTGAAACGCTCTTTGTTTTTCTAGAAATAGATAGGGTTGGGCGGTATTTTCATTTCAATGTCAATATCCAATATTTCAAATTGTCCAATAGACAACCAATATTATTATTAAGTATTGAATTGTAGATAATATTGAGGTAAATATTGTTTTCCAATACATTAAAAAACGTCACCGGTATTAACAGTCAGAATCTGCATAAGGCTCATTAAGCTTCATTTTTAACACAAAAATAAGCATTTCTGCAAAGTGTTCTTTGCGACTGGACCAAGTACTTAACGGTCACCGTTTCTCTCTCTCAATGATATCGCCTAGCAATTTTCAATGTTCAATATTGGATCTTAATGTGCCAATACTCAATATTGATACTGTAAGTGTCAGTTATATCGGAATTTCAATATTTTAAAACATTGACATTGCAGTTAATATATGGAAATATTGCCTGCCACTCGAAGTGACATAAGAAATATTTCTCAGTTAATACCATGAAATTTAGAAAGCATTTAACAATGTATTGGAGGTGCTGTGGGGAAGTCCCGACGCGTGTCCGTAACATCAAAATGAAAATAAAGACATTGTAAAATTGCCTCGTGTTATGACAAAATGCTCCTTAATACGAAGCGATTCTTCTTTGAGTTTTTTTCTGTGTATAGTTAGTTTTCAAGTGAACTTGAAACCAAGAATCTATATATTTCTCTGTAAAGAACGAGTCATTCTTGGTTGCGTTGTTGCTACCTTTGTTGTGGTTAAGTTCCCTTTCCTTCGTCAAGACAAGTCAGCGTCATGTTTGCTCTGTTCTACCAGGCCTCCGACGTCAACTTGGCTCTGGAGCGCCTGCAGCGTCTGGCGGAGCTTCTTCAATTGGAGAGTGGCCCTAGCTTTCGGCAGTTGCAGGCATCCGATAAAGAAGTTCACTCAGACATTTCCAGGGTCGTGAGGGGCCTTTCCCCTTACTCTGAGGTAAGGAACGCCTTGGCTTCTCACGTCTATGGAACCATCGCTAAACCCCAATCAGTGGTGATAGTCTGACAAAGTGACGAATGTCCACATTTTGGCTCATTTCAATTCTTTGCCATGCGAGGAATGTCTCCTTGCAACTTGATACGTAGGATATTTTTTGAGGTATACTATGTGACAAAATGACGAATGTCCAGGCGCAATCTGAAAAGGTGACGTATGTCCACGCACAATCTGACAGAAATGGCGATGTCCACATATAGGTTGGCAAAAAAAACAACAACAAAAAACGCGCATGTCTAGGCATATTTGACAAAAAGACGAATGTCCATCGGCGACTTTGGGCTGGACACGCGGCATTTTTGTCTGACTATGCCTAGACATACGTCGTTTTGTCACATTGCACCACACCTGGACACTCGTCACCTTGTCAGATTATGCTACACATAAAAATGATGAATCAATTCCTTACCCATTGAGGGCGTGAACGAAGAATTTGAACACGTCAAAAGTACTCCACGAACAACTGTCTGAGTACACACTTGAAAACAGGCGCGGTTTAAGGAGCTCCCGACAGGGACGGCGATTGTGTATATTTTGACTACCTTCAGGGGCATGTGATGCTGGTTGCCCAACTACAGTCAAACTCCTCGTTTTGTCCCTCCACCCGGGAGTTGCTTTGGACAAAACGAAGGACCGAGCCCGGCCGGCCGATGCGGATTAGGCCGCCGTAATCCCTACCTTGGCCGGCCAGCGACGGCAGCATCGCCGGCGGGGCGCGACCCGCGCACGGTGGTGGGGATGACTCTGGGACAAAACGAAGGACCCAGAAGAGGGACAAAACGAGGAGTTTGACTGTATCCGGCGTTGAGGAAATCTCACAGGGGGATCGCTCTTCGTCATCCCCCTGCTGAAACCACGCCCGCTTAAAAATGCCTGTGCCTGCATACACCCACTTCGGCGCGTGCGTCGACGCCTCTTACGAAAACAATCCGAACTGCCAGTGCGCGGTGCGCGGATCCAAGACTCCTCTTTTACTTATTGCGTCTGAAAATTCTGTATCACAGTTATCCATTTCCTTCCCACTTTGACCGTGTTGCCCGGTGCTTTGCAGGAGCAGGACCTTCGGATCCGCGAGGAGCTGAAGGCACTGGCTGCTTCGGTCAGCGTCATTATCACCCAGGTCGAGCTCAGAGCCATCGCGGCGGCCACGGGGATGGGAGCGGGCCGCTGGTACCTCTGCCCCAATGGCCACCCCTACAGCATCGGGGATTGCGGCCGCGTGGTGATGGAAACCGCCTGTCCCGAGAGAGGATGCGGTGCTCGCATCGGCGGGTCGCATTACCAACTGAGGAGAGACAACACTGTGGCCACGGATATCAATGCTGCCATCCGGGGAACCTGAATTTGAACTCTCAAACACGCTTGTTTTTTGGCACGTCCATGCCACGCTCTCAGGATTTCTCGGCCGAATTATTTTTGTAAGCATTTTGCACATAGTTCCATTTTTTTTCTATTTACTCTCACAATGTCTCTCAAGGGTGGATTTATTATTGTGAAATGTCCTCTCACTTGGCCGTGTGGCTTTGTGTTATTTTTTACATTGTGTGTTATTTTAATCTCTTGAACAAAACTGAAACTTCTTCCTTACAATTTCCATTTATTTTTGTACGTATAGGGAAAAGTGAGTGTTTTGCATTTGAATAAAGAGATCGCAGTCCATTCCATTTGAATAAAGTATTTCTGTCTAGCGAAGCAGGAGTTGATTCAACGGCCGAGGGCGTAAGGAGCGGCCGCCCTGACCAAGGTCATGGGTTTGTCTCCCAGGCGTGACAGCAGAGGCCGGAATCGGGTCTCGTTGGCCGCTGCGCCTGCCCCGCTCGGCGGGGCGGGCGAACTTCGGTTCGGCTCGCCCCAGCTAGCGGCCATACCCGTCCCCCCCCGACGAGATCGTGCATGTCAACGGGGCTCGTTGGCCGCTGGAGGTGAGGGGGTGAAGGGGTGACGGATTTTTGGGTAGGCCGAGCGAGGCGACGAGCCCCGACGGCCGGCGGCGGCCGGCGGCCGCTTCCCAGCACCGAGGCGGTGGCCGGGTGTGCCTGGCTTGCGTTCCAAGCGACAAGGTGTCTCTGTCGCACACAGCGGGTGTGTCGGACCTCTCTGTTCGGGCGACTCCTTCGGACGCACTCAGTGGCTGCTTGCTGTTGGCTTGACTCGGCGCCGGCGACTCGCGGCTCGCCAGCCGGCGTCCGTCTGTCTGCCGTGCCTCTGGCTGATCTGGCCAACGGGGCCCGTTGGCGATCGGACGCGTTCGGCTCACTCGGTAACCTTCGGAGCATCGGTATCCGCCGTTCGGCTTTCTCGGACCTCTCTCTCGCACAGTGTCGCTGCGGCGGAGGCGAGCTACAGGGGTTCGCCAACGGGTCCCGATTCCGGCCTCTGCGTGACAGGTCTTTGATTTCTTTGTTTGCACGTCTTCCTGTTAAGTGCCAAAGGGGTGGTCTACCTTCCCGGTGCAGTGCAATACTAGAGACAATAAATTCCTAAGGAAAAAGTGTCCGGGAGGAAAGCGACATCGGGAATTGAACCTATGCGCGATCAATCTTAGAACGATGGTTGGACACGCTTCCGCACTATGACGTTTCGATTGGGTGGCATCCCATCATTGCGCCCTGAACATTCCTCTCAGATCCGGTACCACCATACTCTTCGATTGGGCGCATCTTGGCGGATATGTCTCGGTGCACTGAGGATGAAAGAGTCATGATCATGACTAAAATTTTGGGCGAGGAAACAAACAAAATTGGATATTGATCATGACTTTTCCATTCTCAGTGTGGCTGCACTGGTAAAACTAAAGCGTAGTATTACCCACTGTTTTCAAGCGTAATCAGGTTACGCTTGAAATGAAGCGTAACAGGCTCATCCGCCAAGATTCCCCCTATCTAAATGCATGGGAGAATTTCTAGTCTATGCTTGATTTCAAGCGTAACGTCTTCAAGAGTAACTTTATGCTTGACTCAAGCATAGAGTTACGCTTTAGTTTTACCAGTGTGGGATGGCCAAGGTAATGCCTGCTGCGCGGAAGTCCTGGGTTCAAACCCCGCTCGGGTTAATTTTTGCCCATGAATGACCCCGTTTGAATGTGACATGCCCGAATTGTCACATTTTAACGAACGTGACAGCAGTAGATACACGCAGGTACCAAGAACGAAGCAAAATGGACTTGCCAGGCGTAACACGATTGTTTTGCTCAACGACAGAGACTCAAGTTCACAATCCTCTATGTTCAAAAGTGACAAGTGACTCCTTGGGTGATAATATTCCGTGAGTGCTGGCTGGCTGCCGGGACGTCACTAGAGCAGAGTGCAAGCCGAGATAGCGCTCCATCACGGAGGGTCGTGATGTAAAATTAAAACTTTCCCGATGGCAATTACAGTGGCGTGACACTTGAAGCAATTCGTGGCCGAACAATGAGGGAGTGCCCTTCGGACTGTCAACCCGCCTTCGACTCGGTTTGTCGATAGTTCGACGCGGACTTGCTTTGCTACAAAAGGCTGCCACGTACTGAAATTCGAATGGTCAGGCCCAGAAGACCAGTGGAGGCGGTCAAAATTCTAGACGCGTTGACGCGTTTTTGAGGTCCTTAGTGGCTAAATGAGTCGTTCTGAAATTTCAGTTCTTTTTTTTAAACAGTGTACTACATAACATGTCGTACGTGTAACCCCGATGAACAAGAGATACTCCTATTTTCGTCACCCAATATTATCTCCACGGAAGTGCCCATCTCTTTGGGAGCGGCAGCAAAGTTTCGTCCGGGCATTGTGCGTCACCTCGAGAGCTCAGGTTTTTAATTAGTAAGATAAAACAAATAATTATTAATATACTTAAAGGATCTTCTTTATTAGCCAAGAAAACATGACCCAAAATTACAAAATTCATTATCAAACCTTCATTTATGCGAAGACTATTCACGAGGCCAAAGAGTAGTTGATTAGATAGATAACTTACACCACCATTTCATGTGAGTGCAACTTCGTCAATGATACCACAAAAAGTTAAAAACATACACGATTCCAAATATAAAAGAAAGGCCCAGGAGGTACATATATTGTGAAGAGAGTTCATACATTAAATAAGAACCATGCACTTCCTGACAGCACATCAATCAATCACGCAGCAGCTGGTCGACGGACACCTTGGCGAAAATGTTGTTGGCGATGCCGAGAAACACGTCGGCCAACTTGAGGCGGAGTTCGGGCATCATGGCGTCGAGGACGAGGTGCCCACTGGTGCGGAGCAGCATGTTGGTGGCTTGGGCTGCGACGGGAAAAAAAACGAATGTAACAACTGAAAATAAGCAAGAATATTTAATTAGAGTATACTTATTACGTTTGATTTTTAGCAAACACTTATTATGCATAATAAGTATTTGCTAAAAATCAAGCGCAATAAGTTACACTAAAAATCAAACGTAATAAGTGTACGCTGAAGGTCGAATGTAATGACTGAAAATAAGAAAGTAGAGACGGAGAATGGGATAGAGAAAGAAATGACAACTGCCTTTCAGAGCAAAGGACTGCATGACAAGTGTAAGTTTCAACGCTTCAAAAGGATGAAGAGCGTGCCCACCAAAAGGAGTAAGGAAATAGACCTGTTCACCAATATCAGAGTTGAAGCTAGGAATCAAGCTTTGTTGGTTTACACTGAAAACTAGGCTAAATTGATACTTAAGACAAAGCGTAATAAATATTTGATAAAAATAAAGCGCTATAAGTTACCCTAAACGTAATAAATTTACGCTAAAGGTCAAGCACGATAAGGTTACACTAAATAGGAACATGATAAGTTCTCTAAAAAATGAAGCAAAATTAATTAGAACTAAAAATTAGGAGCAATAAGTTTGCGCTAGAAAGCAAGCATAATAGGTTAAAGACACGTAAAGTTTACACTGGCTCATCTGGTCAGACTCCCCCTCTCTAAATGCATAAAGGAATTACCGAAAAATGCTTTGTCGTGAACGAAAATTAATGCTTGACAAAGTCATGCAGACGTAGTAGTAGAGTTTCACCGGTAAAACGTCGTCAACTCACCGATGATGAAGTTCTCCCCCGGCGCCCGGTCGATGCGCATGCTCACGTCGCCCACCTTGAGGTCCACCAGCAGGCGGTCCACGTGCACGTGCTGCCTGCCAGCTCGGTCTGCCCGGTCCGCCCCGCGCACCGACAGCGCGCCCCGGAGCTGCGTGCGCACGCGGCCCAGCTCGCCGTGCAGCGTGCCACGGCCGGAGGCGGGGATCATGATGAGCACGCCCGAGCTGGAGTAGTCGGCCACGAGGGAGAGCAGGGGGATGTCCACGTCAAGGGAGAAGGCGCCCGCCTCGCCCACCCTGCAGCAGGCAAGCAAACATTTCACACACTGAGACACTAAGTGTTTGAGCAGAATGAAGTTACGTGTAACTGGCAGGATTTTGTGCCCTCATTGAATTTGCATGATGTTCACTCTCATTCCATGAACGTGACATCACGTTGAAACGAACGTGACAAAATGTCACGTTCGTTTGAGCATTGTGTCACGTTCGTTTGAATGTGAATAAGCTGATTTTTAGCCAATTCACACACAAATGAATGTGACAATGCTCAAATGAACGTGACATTTTGTCACGTTCGTTACAACGTGATGTCACGTTCCTGGAATGAGTGTTAGGCGTAAAACTGCACAAATTTGTGCGAATTTGAGCAAAACTTGGGGGAAAAGAATAGACAGGTTCAAAATCATGCAACACCTCGTACACGGAGAACATGGCCAGAAAGGATAAGTATTTGACCGTGAAAGCATGAGAAGAAAATAGTAATTTGAAGCCCCACGATAAAAATTACGAGCATTACAATGCACGCTTGGACCTAGAATGCATGCGATGAAAACAAGAACACAGAACTTTAGACCGCGAAAGCACTCAAAGAAATAAATTCAAAGCTAAAGGTGACGAGCGTTGGCACAGAATACTCCTTCCCTGAAGGCATCCAAATAAAACAATACGTTGTGGAGACAATCCGACGGCCCCTATTCAAAAGATCTTATCTGGGCACTCCTATTCAAAGAATCTTATCTGCAACGCACGCGAATTTCACTAAGTTTGGCCAATTGGGACGGAGAAGAGGGTAAGCGGAACATATTTCTACACGCACTATTAATTTCTTCGATCTTTCATCTTCAAGTTTGTGAAACTACAATCCCAAATTTTGATTTGTAGCTGCCTCAAATGATCAAACTTGGTGAAATTCGCTTGCTTTGCAGATAAAATTCTTTGAATAGGAGCGCCCAGATAAGATCTTTTGAATAGGACCCCTCGAATTCTGAAAATTTGAAATTAACATTTACAGCGCACTGTCGTCGAAGACATGAACAGTGAGAGGATGCTTACGTGAGGTCGCGCACGGTGAAGTTGCTCACGCCCGTGACGTCGATGTCCTTGAGGGAGATGCGGTACCCGCCGCGTCCCTCGGTCAGCGACAGGGACAGCTCGGCCAGGCGGAACGGCTCCGTGGACGGCACGTCCACCTCGGGGATGCCTGCAAACGAGACACACTGGTAAAACACTCAGGGTACAGTGGGCCAGAAGACCGGTGGAGGCGGCCAAAACTCTAGACGCGTTTTGAGCTCCAGAGTCGCTAAAAGGGACTCGAACCGAACGTGTGACCCCACCACTGGATTCCTCGTTCGGAGAGCAATCCATTGGTTCGGCCAAAATTATAGATGCGTGTTCAGCTTCAGCATAAGTAGAACGCTTCTTTAAGTTTCCCATTCAATGAAGGGAAGGCAGGTAACAATTAGTTTCAAAATCGGCTTTAAAAAGGTGTCAGGGCAGATTCGACTAAACACTCTACAACGCGGGAAAGTAAAAGAACGACCGAATGCCGTGTCAAGTAACAGTAAACATCGAGGTGAAAACTCACCTTGCGCCAGCCACGGCCTGATGTGCATGATGGCTTCGACATAGCAGGCCTGAAGCTTTGGATCTCGTCGACTGCACTGGTGGAGGTACGACGCTGCACAAAAAAACAATTACCAGCA